TTTCCCATTTTCTTATCACCAGAGACTTCGGTTTCTCATCCAAACCACTGATTAAAGAAGAGATCTGACAAGGACGCGAACAATGACAGAACCAAGGTCAGGGAGGGAGGGAAAGTAGGCACCGAGGACAAATCAAGAGCAGAGAAACCAGCCTTGTGTGGACACACCCATTCAGCCGGCCACAAACTACCAAGGCTTCTTCAACACTTGCCCCACAGCCTCCTCTCGGCCCAAGAATAAGATGAGAGACCCGTGTGAGCGGCCCCATCCCCTCCCCAAAGCAGCCACCAGCCACTGCCCACAGCGTGACAGCTCAGCTCTGAATGCTGATCACGTTCACGTATGGGGACAATGGAGGCTTGTACAGGCCCACACCATAAAGCACTCCACAGACACTGTCCTCGTTCTTGAATTTCTACCCTGTCACCCAGTGAGAGAGGCTGATGATCACTACTGTCCCGAGAGGGAAAATAAAGCTCAGGGAGCTCCCCTGCTAAAAGAGCCTGGAATCCCAGGCCTTGACAACGACCCAACTCCAGCCTCCTTTCCTCCACACCATGACAATTCCAGCTCTACCCGGTGATAAGAACTTCAGTAGCAAGAGCTAGCATTCACTGAGCAAGTCAGTCACCCTGGGCAAGCCTGCGCTGAGGTCTGTGTGCCCAATCTCAATGAACAGCCCTGTGAGGGAGGTGCTCACCCCCCACCATTTGTGGCAGACCATTAACTGGCAGCCAACATCTACTCCCCCTCCTTTAATAGTAACAGGCTCCTAACACATCTGGCACAAGGCCATCCAGAATAAAGCCTATGCCTCCAAGCCTTCCTTGCACCTGTACACGACCACGGGGCTACTTTCTGCCTAGTGGGATAAGTGCAAGTGTTGTGTGCAAACATCTAGAAACTTTCTTAAAAATTGGCATAAGCGCTTTTGCCTCTTTTCCCTCCCTCCTCGTCCCTGCTGGATGGAATGCAGACATGATGGCTAGTGCCTAAGCAGCCCTCTTAGACCTTGAAACAACACTGGTAAGAGAATCCATGTGCAGGTGAACAACTATATGGTCCTTAAGCAGAACTGGCTATTTCTGGGCTTTTGGGGGAAAAAGAAAGAAACTTCTATGTTGTTTAAACCACTAATGTTTTAGGATACATCATTTCAAATGCAAAAAAGGAAACTAGCTCAGGGAGACAGTTACTTGCCCAAGGTCATGCAGTATGTAAGTGGAAGAGCTGGAATTTGAACCCAGACCTCGAGGACTCAAACTCAAAGGCCTTAACCATTTTAATACTTTGCCTCCAGGCTGCGTCACCTTGGACTAGTCGCTTTACCTTTCAGAACCTGTATTTCTGCAGTAAAAGCCCAAGTGAGGTGCTAAGAGAGGTCAAGGTTCAGAGTCTGGTTAGAATGCCAGCTCTGTCCTCTTGCTAAAGGACTGTTGACCATGACTGTCTGAGCCTCAGTTCACTCATCTATGAAATGGAGATAAGAATAAGAACCACCCCCTAGACTACAGAGAAGATCTGATGAAGCGTAAATGCATGTCAAGCACTTAGCCCGGCGGTTTAACACACAAGTGCTCAAGAGACTAGCCGCTCTTATCAGCATCACCTTAACACAGGCATCAATACCAACCTCCCAGGCCGGCTCAAAGGGCTAGAAAGAATGTACCAATGTAGTAGGCACTGGGTCTGGTACCCCATGAGCTCTTATTATAGCTCAGGACAGCTATTTACTCCTAAGCATTACGTCCCTGGCCCACACTGGGGCCTCAACTATGGCCAGCACAGACCCAGGCCCTGCCCTCATGGTCATGTTGTAATCTTTTCGACACCGTCAGAGAGGGGCTCTCCCTTCCGCCCAGTTCCTTCCTGGGTGACGGGAGGCAAGTGAGGAGCTCTCAGAGAATCCCTTCCTACAATAATAGCACTTCTATTTCATGGATGACTACGGGGATGCATCTAAAGCTCTTCTCACAGAGCCTGGTGTCTGAGGAGCAATTAAAATGGTAACTACTAGTATTAGTATTTTTACTCATCTATTCTTTCAAACCGTATTTGTTGGCCCCAAGCTTAGGATGCAAAGATGACCTGAATACAACCAGTCCCCAGTCTTACAGAGCTGGATACGTGTGTTGTTATGTGTGTGCCAGGGGGCGCCTGGGTGGCTCAGTTGTTCAGAGTCTGACTTCGGCTCAGATTATGATCTCGTGGTTCGTGGGTTCAAGCCCCGCGTCCGGCTCTGTGCTGACAGCTCAGAGCCTGGAGCCTGCTTTGGATTCTGTGCCTCCCTCTCTCTCTCTGCTTCTCCTCTGCTCACGCTCTGTCTCCCTCTCTCTCTCGAAAATAAATAAACATTAGATTAAAAAAAAGAAATTCCTAAGGGGAAGAACAAGGGTTATAATGGCATTCATGGGGACACTTGCTGGAGTATGGGGGACGAGGGAAGACTTCCTTGGAAGTGAGATCTGACGGACAAGCAGCAGTTAGCCGTGCATGGGAAGAGCTCATGCAAAGGCCCGTGGCTCTTGAATCCTGAGAAACAAACTGATACTCTTTATACATCTTCCGTGTTAGAGAAATATCACCCTAGATAACAAGGATGGCCAGATGGCTTGAGCAAAGGAACGAGGCAGAAAGCAGGGTGGCACGAGTTTAAAGGGGCAAGGGGGGAGCAGGTGGCAAAAAGCCAGACCACGTGAGGCTTGAAGGCTGTGTTGAGGAGCCTGGCCTTTCTCTCAAGAGCACTAGGGAGCCATGGAGGAGTTCAGAGCAAGTGAAGGACAGGGTCAGCCTTGTGCTTTAGAAAGACCTCTCTAGCCCCGCTGAAGAGGATGGATTGGAGCTGGGCAAGAATGAAGGCCAGGAGACCAGGTAGGGCGCTAAAGCAGTACTGCAGTTGTGAACAGGAACATCTGTGTTAATAGCGTCTCACAGGAGAATTGAACCTACTACACAAGTGCCATTTCCAGCTGGGCGCGGGGGGAGGGGGGATCTCAAGGGCAAGTAGGAGTTAAACAGGCGAGGGGAGACATTACAGGCACGATGCCCTGTGGTGACAGAGATGGACATAAGCCCAGTGGAGCAACTCAAGGATGAAGCTGAGAGGCTGGCTGATAGAGGTCAGACCATAAGGGCCTTTCAGGTCACAGGATGGGAGCGTGGTCTCTCCAAAAGCAACCGAAGCATCAAACAGGAGACGAGAGCGGTCAGCGTCTGCTTAATGAATACTGACGGCGCTCCGACGGGGTGCCGAGCCAAACCTCAAGAAGGGCTGAGCTTTTCTGGGCGCTGCGAATGCAGCAGGAAGACAGCATCCGGGAGGTGGTCGGTCTTCTACCTGGCCTGCTTTGAGCGTTACAGAGACCTTCCTCCTTCCTGCTCACGCCAGCTCGGTACTGAGCCCGCACTGCAGCATGCCATAGCCGAGAGGATCCCTCTGGTTTTTACCGACTACTCCCGCGCAATGACTATCCATCCTCTTGAGGAAACTGGGCCCTTGTTGTGGCATATTTTCAAGCCCAGACCTCGCCAGGGTGGCCAGGGCCTCGCCCTCCAGGGGAGCCCCCACCCCAGAATGAGGCCCGTTACTCACAATCTTTTCATAGTACTCCCGCCGCCGCTCTGCCCTCTTCTTGTAGTCAACCATCATGCCTCGAAGCTTGCGCTCATGCTTCCGAGCCTCGTGCCACATCGTGGTGAGGCCGAGCGTGGGGCCTCAACCTGGGGGGATGAGAGGGGAGCGTCAGATGCGCTGTAAAAAACCGTAGGGGCAGAAGAACCAAAGTCGCCCAACGAGTTGGTGACAGAACCGATCCTAAACACCCGCTGCTGCAGGGAGGGGAAGGGAGGCGGCAGGACCGCGCGCCAGATGGTGAGGCGCATCCCTGGCAACTCTGAGCCAATACCCTGGGCGTTCTGGAAACACCCCCCCCCCCCAGGCGATTCTGGAGTGAGCCTCCCCGGGGAAGGAGTGTCGTGAGTTCAGGGCGCTAGAATCAAGGATGAAAAGGTTTTGGAATGCTGGGAGCGAGCCTTTGATGTAAGGTCTGGAGGCAGAGCCCAAACAGCTGGGGCTGTAGCTCCAGGGAGGCAGAAGGGCGGAAATGGGGTTACCCGTGGCGGCGGGGCACGGTATGAATGCAGGTGAAGACAAGACAAGACTTCATGGGAACAGAGTAGTTGTAATGGGACTGGCGGGAGGGGGGTGGGGGTCGGGACGGAGGGCAGGTGAAGGGCGCGGACGAAAGACGACAACGATCGGGGGCGGAGGGGGAACACGGTGGGGTGCTGTAAATAAAAACCAGAGTGGGGCTGAGGTCTACAGAAGGAATCTAGGTGGCGGGGGCGGGGGGGGGGGGGTGGTGTGAAAATCTGAAGAGGGACCGACGGAGGCGGAGCGGGCAGACGGGAGGGGGTGGGCTGAGCTGAGGGGCAAGGCTTGCAGACAGGGGCGGAGCCCCAGGGTTTGGACTGGGCTCGAGGACCGGGTCGGGGCCTTAGGGTTCGGGATAAGGTTTTTGACAAAGGGGCGGGGCCTGTGGCAAGCGGCGGGGTCCGACGCGGCGAGTTCTGGCCCGCCGCGGGGGCAGGGGCGCGGCCTGAGGCGCGGCAGGCCTGAGGGGGTGCGGGGCCGGCGGCCCTCGGGACTGGGGCTGAGCAGAGGCTCACGGCACCCCGGGGAAGGGCCGAGACGAGGGCGGAGCTGGGCTGACGCCCGCCCGAAAGCCAGGAGGTCGGGGCCCGCTGCCTGCACTCACCGGCTCGTCGCCGCCTCCCACCGCTGCGCTCGCGCGCGGCCCGCACCGGAAGCGGAAGTGGGAGGCCGCGCGAAAGGGAGGGGCGGAACGTGGCGCAGCGCGCTTCCGCCGACGCGAAGGGCGTGCCCCGAAGAGGAGGGGCGGGGCCTGGAGGACGGAGGCGTGAGAGGCGGAGCCAAGGACTTCCCGGAGGGTTCGTGCGTGAGGGCCCGGGGTGTTTCCCAAGCGGAGGAGAGACCAGACTCCCGAGGCTCAAAAACTCATCTTTATTGGGAAGACTCAAAACAAACAACCTGTATCCCCCACCTTCAGGCTTGGGGAAGGAGAGCTGAGGATCTGCACCCTTCTCCCATATGTACACTCCAGAATCCGCCTGGAGAAGGCGCCCCCCTCTTGTGGGGGTTGAGGCAGCTTTACAAGCTGGTGCATGGGAGCCAAGCCCCTTTTCCTCTCCGGACTCGGTTTTCTCATTTGTAAAATGGGCTCAGGGGAAACCGGTGCTACGGAGCTTCTGACCAGCGCTGAACATGTCCCATTCAGAAGGATGAGGAGGTCGGAAGACTGACCAAGGGTGGCCCAAGGGGATGGAGGTGCTGGACATCCGGGTTGGGTTTTCAGGGCTCCTTCTACCTACTTCCCTCCCGCCCAGCGCCTCTCTCCTCCAGCACCTCGGGGCTACGTGGCCTCGGGCCCCGGGGACAGGAGCCCTCCCCCAAATCCGACCTCGCGGTACTGGTTGGGGAACATGTTGCTGCCCACAAGGCTGGCAGTGCCCCCGTCCCCGGGGCCTGGGGCCTGGTATGAGTCCAGTGTTATTGGCTCGGGGCCGGAAGGCTCTCCAACAGTGGGCCCTGCAGCCCCGTTGCCCGTGACAGCGCTGGCGAGTGGCGGCGCCGGGGGCAACATGTCCAGCATGGTGAAGAGTGTGGGGGCTGTGGCGTCATCGTAGGCAAAGCTGTCGTCCAGGAGGTCCGGCCCCCCTGGGGGCTCCAGGCCGGGTAGGGACACGGGGCCAGGGAAGAAGTCTGTATCCGGCAGCAGGGCTGACGGCGGGAGGAACGGGCCTGCAGGGATGAAAAGACCGAAGGAAGCAGGGCAGGCTTCAGGGTCAACTTCTGGCCCTGTTCTATCTCGAATGCCCCGATAGTGCTAAATGCGTTATTACTGTGGCCTCTGTTAATCCCAAGGAGACCCTTGGAGTAGGGACTATCACCATTCTCAATAAGCAAACTGAGGCAACCTAATTCACTCACACATAGCTGGCGAGTTGTGGACCCAGGGTTCAAACAATGCTCCTGCAGTGCTAGGGAGTTTTTCCAAAAAATAAGAAAGCCGAAGAGTCTCTAAAGCCCCTCTGCCCCCCTCCCCCATTATAGACACAACCCGAAAAGAAATCCCCGCACATGGGAGACCCAAATGAGGAGTCACCAGTCCCCAAATTGGAAGGTAAAATTATGTGTCATCATAGGAGAGTCTCTCTTTGCAACAAGACAAACCTCACTAGCAAAGGTATATTACGCTTATCTCGGAAAGAGACCCAGGACTACTGGGACTCTATTTCCCAGCCTCGCTTACAGCTTAATGTGGTTATGTGACTAAGTTTTCCTCGCTGGAATGTGGGCATGATGGCTGGAGCTGGGGCAGCCACCTTGGACCATGAGATAGAAACTGTGAGGTGAAAATGGCTGGAGCTTGCTTGGGTCTCTGATGATCATACAGCCTCCAAACCATCCCAGGACTGTCTATCGCTGATTATCTGAGAGAAGACATAAAGTTCTACCTTGTCAAAGCCCCTGTTAATTTGGGGTTTGCTGTGAACGCAGCTAAACATGATCATAACAAATGCAGGTGGCATTCCCGATTTCTGGCAAGTTCCTAAGATCTGAGCATGAACTCTGTGCCAGCCACTGTGCTGTGGGACATGACCTCACTAAATTCTAAAAGGGACCTTAAGAGGTAGAGTTTCCGTCTGACAGATGAGGTCCCCAGGAGTCACCCGGAAGTCTCACCGTGGCTAAATTCGGGCCTCAGAATTCAAACTCCGTCTGATCCCATGAGGCCATGCTCCTAACCATTATACTATCATGCCAGAGCAGCTCTGCCCCAAGGATGAGAGAGGGGGACTTTAGGCACTAGGAAACTGGGGTGATGGAGGAGGCAGATGAATGGCAGGTGGCTAATGAGGAGAGGCTGGGATTGGTGGTTGCTATGGGCGGAGCTCTGGAGGCACTGGTTACCAGGGGCAGTGGGTAGAGGGAATAACAGGTGACACTTGAAACCTCCAGGGTGGGGCTGGCTGGGTCCAGGTTCAGCTGACTCTGGCTGGGAGCTGGGTGGCTGGGGTACTGGGAGGGTGGGGGGGGGGCGGCGTTCTTCCAGCTGGTCAGTGGGTGGGGAGGCTTCTGATGGCAGCCAGATGGGGCTGCGGTTCATGGGAAGTGGAAGCTGGCGTGTGAGTTTAGATGAAGGCAGGGGTCGAACAGGCCAGAGGGTGGCTGGGTTAGAGAGGCTCTCAGTGAGAGTTGGCTGGCCCTGACACCCACCCCCACCTGCCTGCCATCCACTCCCGGCTACCTCCTTCACACAGCGCTTCACCACCAACCTACAAAGATGGCCACGTACAGCTCCCCGCCCCATCACAGACCAGGTGGGTGACCTCGGGTAAGACCCCCCCCCGTCTGCCTCTCTGTCGGGCCGTGCGCTGAGCGTGGAGCCTGCTTGGGAGTCTCTCTCTCTTTCCGCCTCTCCCCCACTCGCTCTCACTCTCCCAACATCAATAAATAAACGTTAAAAAGTACATTAAAATCTAAAAGGCCCGTGAGGTACGCCTATGGTGAAACGCTTCAGAGGAGGCCCTGAAGCTCTGACCAACTTGGCCATGGTCACCCAGCGAGTCAATGGCCCAGCTGAGATCAGAGCCTCCAGACTGTGTCCAGAAATCTTATTCTTTCTACTTCAGGCTGCTGCCTAAGTGGTGAGTTACTGGCCTTGTGCGAGGTGGGGGGGTGTGGGGGGGCGCTGAAGAGGCCAGAAGCACCCTCACCCTGCTTCAGAGGGCAGGGACCCACCCGTGCCGTGACCCACCTGAGCCGTGGTTGGGCAGGAAGTGATCCAGGAAGGCCGGCTTTTTCCTCCGCCGTTTGCTCTCGATGCCATGGGGGTCTAAGGGAAGGTGGAGATGAGGAGCCCTGGACCCTCACAGCCCCGCCTCCCCAGCCTAGGACTTAGCCATCCCCTCCCAGGAACCTGGAGATGGCTGTGGAAAGGGGCATAAGGGACACACCGGAGCTGTTCAGCTCCCCAAGGACGTCCGGCATCCCCCGTTTCCGCTTCTTGTCCACTCCGTAGCTGTCTGTTCAGGAGACACCGGGGGGCAAGGGAATCCATCAATAATTATAATTAAGCGTTAATTACAGAGACCGTTTAGGAAGTCCTTGACTTGCTCCGGTTTTTGGCCAACTAATGCAAATAGATGTCCACATCTTAATCAGAATGAAAAACCCAAATCCACTTCTAGCCACACTGGCCTCTTTGTCGTTCCTGGAACACGCCAGGCACAATCCTGCCTCAGGACCTTTGCACTTGCGACTCCAGCTGCTTGACACTATTTCCCACCTCCCACCGCTTCCCTCAAGAATTGCTTAGACATCCTCACGTCCTCAGCCATCCCTTTCTCCAGGAAGTCTTCCCTGATCCCCAAGCTTGGGTCAGATGCCCCCTCGGAGTGACCTGAGTCCCCCGAGCAATTCCATCCCCACTAAAGGACTATGACACTTACAAGGGCAAAGCTGAGGCTATCTTGCTCACTGCTGTGTCCCCAGCACCAGCCAGTACAGGGCCAGGCATGAGCCAACGTGCTGAGGGGACAAATAAAGACTCCCCAAATGCCATCAGACAGGTAGCATTATTTCCATTTTACATAGGAGGCTGAGGTTGAGAGAGGCCAAGTTCACAAAACCAGTTAAGTAGTGGACCCCAGTCTGTGCAGTCATGAACCTGCATTTTACTTCTGCCTCTTCCCCTGGCCCCTCTAGGCCAAAGACCTGGTCTCTGGGCAGTGGGTCACCCTGGATTTCTGTGGTTACCATGGTCCCGAGGCAGGTACGTGAAGGGCAGAGGCTCACTGCAGACCCCGTCGGTGAGCCGCTGCAGGAAGACGTTCACGGTCACAGGCTCAACGATTTCCAGGTCCTCATAGGGCGGTGTCTTGAACACAATGGCGATCTGGCGGTGCACATCGGCCTGGGAGAAGTCTGCCCGGCCTTCCCAGGAGGCCCTGCTGAACACCACCGATATATCCTCTGGCGGGAAAGTGGCGACATCAGCTGAGCCAGGACACTGGCCCACTGGGCCCCCAACACGTTCAGCCTCCCCCCAAATCAATGTTGATGTTTTTCAAGTATTTTTTTAAGTTTTTGCAATTCCAGCTGATTTTTTTTTTTTAAATGAGTTCCACGCCCCATGTGGGGCTTGAACTTACGACCCCAAGATCGAGAGTCACACGCTCCACCAACCGAACCAGCCAGGTGCCCCCGATATTGATAGTCTTAAGCATAAAACTAATCATCGTGGCAGCTAACCTGTTGAGCACCTACTCGTGTGCTAGTCACTAAGTATCTTAAATATTTTTTATGTATATTATCTCATTTAATCCTTTCAGCAACCTGAGCGGCAGGTAGAATTAATATCCCCACGGTGTCAGAAGTCCCCCAGACCATTGTCAGATTCAGTGATTCACTAAGGGGACCCACAGGACTCAGCATATACTCATACTCATGGCTGAGATTTATTACAGCAAGAAGGTAATGAGCGTCCTCAGTAAAGGGAAAAGATTTTGCCTGGAGTAAAGTCCAGAGGAAACCAGTCACAAGCTTCCAAGAGTCCTCTCCCAGTGGAGTCGCAGAGAACATGCTGAGTACCCCCCCCCCCGTAACAAACTGTGACAACACGTGTGAAATGCGGTCTCTCAGGCAAGCTCGCTGGACACCCTGGCACCCCGGGGGTTTTTATTGGGGGTTGGTTCCATAGGCACCGTCTGCCTGGCACATACCAAAATTCCAGACTCCCAGAAGCAAAGCAGGTGTTCAGCACAAACCACATTGTCCATGCAAACAGTTTAAACACAGTGAGCCACTCCCATCAGTCAGGGAATGGTGGGAGCCCTCTCGACACCCAAGATTCCAAAAGCCAGCCAAGGGTCAGCCCTTGAAGTAGGCCTTTCAAAGGATAATAGTCTCAGATCTACTGTGCCAACTCTCCTACACAGCCACTTTAATTTTTTTTTAATGTTTATTTATTTTTGAGAGAGGGAGAGAGAGAGAGAGAGAGCACGAGCAGGGAGGGGGCAGAGAGAGAGGAAGACACAATCTGAAGCAGGCTCCAGCCTCTGAGCTGTCAGCACAGAGCCCCAACTCATGAAACTCGAGATCATGACCTGAGCCGGAGTCGGACGCGTGACCGACTGAGCCCCCCAGGGGCCCCGAGTATGATTACTTTTATTAGCATTATACAATGTACTAGCTTCAGGCCTGGCACTCAGAAATTCTCATTAACGCTAACTCTTTGTAGTGTAGTTCTTGGGTAGAGATCCCGTAACATCCCAACACCAGCTCATTTTAGGGATGAGGAAATGGAGACTCAGGGTGGTGAAGTCACCAACCCAAGACTGGCCAGTGAGTGAACGATGGATCAGGACTCACATCTGCCTCTAGTTAGTTGCACACACCTAGAACAGTTTCCCTGCTCTTGGACCCCAATCCCAGGCCCCTAACAATCTCCTTGGCATTCCTCAGATCTTGGCTCAAATATCACCTCCTCTGGGAAGCCTTCCATGGTGCCCAGACCATGTCTGGTCTTCTTGTTGTTCAGTCTTGGTGCTTTCTCTTCTTCCGTCTTAGCATAACTCACCTTTGGAATTTGTCTTTATTTCCTTATCCCCCCCCACTGAACTGGGAGCCCTGCGAGAGCAGAGCCCAGGGCTGTCTCTGTCACTGCTATGTCCCAACACTGCCTAGCACAAGGGCCCAGCACAGAGAGCCACTGAATCACCATTTGCTCATTCACTCAAAATTCTAAAAGAACCTCCCATTCCTGGGGGGGGGGGGGCACCTGGGGGGCTCAGCCAGTTGAGCGTCCGACTTCGGCTCAGGTCATGATCTCGCAGTCCGTGAGTTCGAGCCCCGCGTCGGGCTCTGTGCTGACAGCTCAGAGCCTGGAGCCCGTTTCAGATTCTGTGTCTCCCTCTCTCTGACCCTCCCCCGTTCATGCTCTGTCTCTGTCTCAAAAATAAACGTTAAAAAAAAATTTTTTTTAAACAGTTTAAAAAAATTTTTTTAAAGAGTAAGGGGCAGCCGGGTGGCCCAGTTGGTTGAGTGTCTGACTTCGGCCCAGGTCATGATCTCGTGGTTCGTGAGTTCGAGTCCCACATTACGCTCCCCGCTATCAGCATGGAGCCGGCTTGAGATCCTCTGTCCCCTCTCTCCCTGCCCCTCCCTCACCTGCATGCGTGCTCTCTCTCGAAAATAAATAAACATTGAAACAATTTTTAATTTTAAAGAGTGAAACTTGTGGCAAAAAAAAACAAAAAAAAGTACAAATTTTTTTTTTTTTCCTGAGAACGTCATGTGTGCTTGACCCTGGACTGGGTAGTTCTAGGGACACAGCTGCTCACCAAGACAGCCCTAGGTCCTACCCTATACACCCCAATGGGGGAGACAGATGTTAACTATGTAATCACACAGCCTGAGAAAGGATTGAGAAGGATCCCTGAAGCTGTGACAGGCTCTCCCACTCTGCTCCCCACCTGCCCCAATGGCCTTGCTGCTCCTCCAACACTGGGACCTGCTACCACCCCAGGGCCTTTGCACTTGCTGTTTCCTCTGCTGAATCGCTCTTCCCCAGAGAGTCACACAGATCCCTCATGGCTCCCATAACATACCCTAAGAGTGGTCTTCCCTGACCCCACTGAGTAAAATTGTGCCCACAAGCCTTCCAGCCATTCTTCCCTATCTCCTTTCTCAGAATTGTTTTTCTCCAAACACTACTTTTTCACCATCTTCCTGAATTTTTTTTCAACTCTCTTTCTCTATCTTTTTTCTGTTTCCTCCCAGAACAATGATTAGGAGCACAGACCACCTGCATTCAAATCCGGTCTCTACCGGCCTAGCTGTGTGACCTTGTGCAAGTTACTTAACCTTTCTGTGCCTTAGTTTCCTGTCTATAAAAGAGAGATAATGATTGGATCTACCTCCTAGAACTGTTAGGCAATTAGATGATCTAATGAGTGATGCATACAAAATGCTTGTAAGACGGGTGCCTGGGTGGCTCAGTCAGTTAAACATCCGACTTCAACTCAGGTTATGATCTCATAAGTTCGTGGGTTCGAGCCCCACGTTGGGCTCTGTGCTGACAGCTCCGAGCCTGGAGCCTGCTTCAGATTCTGTGTCTCCTCCCTTTCTCTGCACCTCCCCAGCTTGCCCTCTGTCTTCCTCTCAAAAATAAATAAACATTAAAAAAAAAAAAATCTAAAACAAAAACCAAAGTGCTTGTAAGAGAGCTTGGCATATAGAAAGCGCAAGATAAACATTAGCTCTTTATCACTGCTGGGGGTGATGCGATGTATAATAGAGTCACATGACAGAAAACGCAAAGGATACAGAAAAGACATATATGGTAAGAGGGAAAGCTCTCCCCAGCCAGGCAATGCGGCGGGCACCTGTTTTTTATGAAACCCTCTCTTTGAAAAAGGGACACTTGAACAGACACGAATGAAGTGGGGGAGATATTTCTCCCCCTCTACATTTTCCTCCTCCCGTAGCCCTAGCACAGCCGTCATAAAGCATTTATTTATGCAACTCCAGGATGTTAATATCAGAGTTGGGGGGGGGGGGGGG